GGGGGGGCAGTAGCCAGGCGAGAGCGCAGCTGCGAGCAGGGGCAGCCAGGTGCAGGGGACCAGGCCGGGCGGAAGCGCCAGGCATCTGATGCTGGCTTGAGTGCCACGCCTGCCGCTCGGGCCAGCGCGGTGCCCTCGCGTAAGTGAGTGACTTTAAAGGCTTCAGCTGCCTTAGCTATGAAATGGGACCAAGAGCCATACCTACCTCACAGTGTTGCATGAGGTTCAGATGTACGGCAAAGCACTTTGCAAACTGCGAATGAGGAAGGGCACTGGTATTTGTTGAGGCTGGAACTTTGTACATCTCATGTCATTCTCACAAGAACCCTACGAAGTTTCCTCTTTCAGCTGAGACAACTAAGACTCAGAGTGACAAAGTGCCTTATCCACGGGACTTGCCAATAGGCCATGAGCGCCGGAGTTCACATCCGGGTGGAACGTCGAGGCTCTCTTCCTGACACTACACTGCTTCTCCATGTGTACACAGGAGGTGTTATTTGAAATCAGGAGATGTCATAGCCAGTCACTGCCTCGCAGCCTAATGGCCTTAAGAGCCCATATCCAGGTCTAAAGGTTTAAAACACCACCTTCTTAAAAAATGAGATGCCAGGGTATTACAAATGCTGGAAAGGCACATCTATTTTCAAAAGTGAGCAATTTAATTGCACTAATCCAGTCTTTACCCAGCTTCAACTGAGACAAAATATTTTCCTCTGCTCAGGAAGGCCTGGATTTTAAGCATGGAACACAAGAAACACAGTGTCCTACTTACTTTTAATGAGTTAAAGAAGTTTCTTGTTTATTTTTAATCTGGCAGTAATCTGAGGATAACATTGCTATCTTGTGACTCCCAGCTACAGGCCATTTTTACAATTTTAGGCCACACGTTTACTTCTATCTGCCTCGCTCACTATTATCTGAGGTCCTGACCATACCCTTCTGTCTCCCATACCGATTCTGTCTCTGGAGATTAAGTTCATGATCATAAACTGCTGTCATGAAACCCATCTCTGGGGATGAGTCTGACTCAACCGGGGCCACTCAGGGACAAGCCATTCTTGACTATTTACAAAAGGGGCACTTATGGTTAATAATGCCCTTAGGCCTGCATTGATTTTATAATACTGAAAGGAAAAAGTATTTAGCCCAATAAAGGGTCTGGTGGTGATGAACTATACATACAACCACAGTAGTTGTATGCGGTTAAAACCATTTAACTTCAGAAGAACAGCTGAGAAGCATGGAACACAAGAAACAAAGCATTCTGTTTACCTTTAACGAGTTAAAGAAGTTTCTTGTTTATTTTTAATCTAGCAGTTTATATGAAATTATGACCAAAAGCAAGGCGTAGGCTAAATGACTTCTCGAAACATTATGAAGATACCAAGTTTTAGTCTTTGGAAGACTATGGAATGGACAATACTTTCATCATCTTCTAAGATCGCACATAAAAATCACTGAACACATCCAAAGACAAGGGGAAAGACACAACATTTATTGTAAGGTTGTGGTAAGTGTCCGATACCTACCCTGGACTTTGAGTTGCCCAGTCCCATTTCTATGTCTTTCTGAAGCCTTCTCCTTCTGCATTTGGAAAAGTTAATGATCCGCATGATGAAATAAACAAATGACTTTGGACTAGGAACTAGACTGAAGGGTGGAGGTAACGTTTTTCCGTCATCAAAGTAAGATAACCAAAGTTTTGAACGAGCAAACTTCCATTCCACATCGCTGTCATCCTGTCACAAGGCAGAAAAGAAATAACGCATCTTAAAAACTAAAAATTCTAGTAATTGATTCCAGTAGGATCTTACAATAAACCTAGATTATGCTTTTGAAATAGATAAGTGACTTAACGTAAATTACCTGCATATAATCTCTATTGTTTTACTAAATATTCTATCACTTTCTTTACTTTTTTCTCATTTTTCTCTTCCATACACTTCTGTGTGTACCCACTGAAATTTAACCAGGATTTCTGTCCCCCATCCAAAAGCAAAGCAAAAGCACACGAAAAAATTCAGGGCGAAGGAAGGACGGAAAAATTGACTCCTCTCCCCCCGCCAATGCTACATATTTAACAAAAGTTCCTCACTCTCTAACCACCCCCCTCCTCATCCAGACCCGTCCAGTAGGCTGTAGATAAGCATATTATATCCCAAGGACAAAGGGGGAAAAATGGTATTCGATGAAATTGCACTTTGGAGCTTATGTATCAGCACATATGTCCTTAAATGTCACAAAAGGCCCTCAGTGGCCTATTCCTGTCTTAGATCTCCTTTGGTTCTCAGTGTTGCCCCATGGTGATGGGCACAACCATTCTACTGGAAGAAAGGATGGAGAGAAGAAATGGGCAGGAGGGGTCCACCGGTGGAGGGAGTTGGCTCACTCGCTTCACCCTCCCTAGGTTGCTGTGGCCCCGCCCAAGCAGGTGAGCAGAGTACCACAGTTTTCATACCTGGAGGACCCAACCTCTGCTTTGATAACACTATCTGTGTGTTTCTAAAGCACACAGAGAGACTCAATGGGCTTAACACACAGCAATGCCCTACGAAGAAACCGAACACTAAACCAGAGGACATAAGAAAACATACAGGGTGTCCCCCCAAAATGTATACAAACTTTAAATGATTATAAAGTCAGCGTTTATGAACATACAGTTCATTTGCAAAATTTAAAAGAATCTACAGAAATGAGTAAATTTTTTTTGTCAACGCCTGTTTTCAAACTGATGACCATTCTGGTCCAGGCCCTGCTGATAACGTGAAGCAATGGAACTGCAAACATCAGGAATCGTTTTGTTCGGTATTTGTGTGCCCTCAACTTGAGGACTGTTGCCGGTTTTGTACCGTAAACTTCATCTTTTATGTGACCCCATGAAAAAAGCCTCGTGGCGCTTTAGGATAAATTCTTTGTTCAAAGCTTAGTCTGGCTTCACCCATTATTTCAAACCAGTTAAACCTGAAAAGGAGTGAAAATTAAGTGAGTTATCAGCTGTTAAAGTGTTTATACATTTTTGGGAAGGGAGAAACCCTATATATACACAACAGTGAAGAAAGGTTCCAAATCAGCCCAATCAAAAACAAAAAGTAGGATGATTTCTAGAACAGTGAAAATTCTGAGCGGGTAAAGAACCTCATCAAGGTTCGCCAGACGCCTAGTGATTCCTCCTCCGGGATCTTTCAGGTGGCCGCCTGGCTAACCCGGGAGAGGGTGATTTCCCAACGGCCAGTACGACCTCTAGCCACTAATTTCAAAACTTCTGCACTATACCCGAGAGTGACGATAAATTCTTGGGGAGCCCTGCTGTGCTCCTAGAGGACACTGGAAGCCGAGCAGTGATCTGTGCAGGTGGGAGACACAGGAAGGCTGGGCTCGCTCCGCCTGGGTCCCGGAGCCGGAGCCCCCGCGGGCACAGGGCAGGTGCTAACGCTACCGCGATGGATGGGGGCAGACCACGGAGAGGGCTCAGGTTTACCTCGATTTCTTGGTATGAGCTGTTAATCATAGCAATTAGCATGTTGAGTAAAACGACCACCATAGTTACATTGTATATTCCATAAAGAACGTATCCGATATTCTCTATGAATTTGTGATCGTACTTGAGCACAACGGAAGTCACTTCAGACAATCCAAATATGGACCAAAACAAAGTCTTGAAACTCTCTTCCACGCTGTTGAGAGAGTAAGGCACACAGTCAGCAAGGAACAGTTTCCAGTGTCAAAAAGTCAGAAGTACAAACAAGCCAGGGTCTGACCACTGTGCCGGTGTCAAACGTCATCATGAAGTATCATTACAGCCCGGCCGGCGGGGCTCAGCTCTTGAGCATCGGCCTAGGATCCAGGGAGATCGCGGTTCGATTCCCGGTCAGGGCACATGCAGGGTTGGGGGCTCCATCCCCAGTAGGGGGCGTGCAGGAGGCAGCCGATCAATAACTCTCATCATTGATGTTTCTCTCTCTCTCTCTTTCTCTCTCCCCCTCTCTCTGAAATCAATATAGACTTTTTTTTTTTAAATCCTTTAAAAATACCACCATGAACCCAAGAGTGAAGTTATTTTAGTATAATATTTAACAGCAATTATTCCCCCTGGTTTTCAGGAGCCGATGAGCACGTGGCGCCAATGCCAAGCCCTTTGGCAAGTTGTCCAGGGAAACTCCTTAGGAGTAGGTGGCGGGAAGAGGTCCTGCCGTGATGCCCATTCCCTCATCCTGGAGGACAGGAGCTTGGGGTGTGATTTTGTAGGCGGTTTAGAATCGAAATCAGGTTTTCTGAAGTAGAACAAGGTCAGGATTAAAATTAAAGTATACACAGATGTCTTCCCGGTAGCCCGGCGGTAGGGACCATGAGCACACCCTGAGCACCCACCCACGGGCCCGGGGAACTGGGGTAAATAACCCCGCTGCATCCCCCTAACAAAACGCTGCGCAGCCACGGGGAAAATGGCACGGATCTCTCCTCCCGGGTTTATATAAAACGATGCCTGTGAAATATTCTTAAGTGAAAAGATATGATGCAGCAAGTATGAAATATTCTACCATTTGGATAAAAAAGAGGGGCATACAAGTCCTTACATCCTGTTTATGCAAAAAAAATCTCTCTGAAAGTACCTGTCAGAAACCCTTGCCCCTGGGAAGGCAGGAGCACTCACAGCCTGCGGTCCAAGGTGAGGAGGGGCAGGTATTTTATCGCAGACACTGCTCCAAACAAATTATGTGTCACAAGGGTGTATTACCCAGTTAGGAGTTATGCTCGGCTGCAAATAAAGGGGAGGTAACAGCATGAAAGATTCCGCTCCTTTTCCCTCAATTTAAATCACCTACTTCCTGACTCTTCCATTGCAGCAGTTAGCACGCAGGCCCTCGCCAGGTAAGTCCCTACTTTTATCCCTTACATGGGCTTTGCCAGCTGAATTTGGTTGGTTTTATCATATGAGCCAGTCATACTCGCTGGTCTGTGAACAGCAACCATAATCCTTAAACAATTACACACGCCGAATTCCACCACAAGGAGGGGTCAAAAGCAAGTTCTTTTTCCAAAGGAAGATTTATGAAAACTTTTTTTCATTTCTTATAACAGATTCTAAGTAACAATTCTATAGATTTATAGGTTTTAGTACTAGTTTCATTCATTCATTCAACAAATATTGATGGAGCGCCTACCATGCCCTAGAGGTTGTGCTGGACCCTGGGGGCAGAGGGCAGAATAGAAATTCCTGTCCCTACAGAGTTACGCTCTATTAGAAAACATTTGATCGTGTGATGTCACAGCACGGGAGCTAAGACACAGAAAAACTGCAACCTCCTTGTTCCTAGCCTTAATTTAACAGCGTCACAAAATTCCCGCCTTCTCCCCTTGCTCCTTTGCAACCCGCCCCCCACTCATTCTCTGTGACTCTGTATGAAGACTCTACCTGGGTGGGGAGGGGACAGTAAGGGGTGGAGGGGACAGTAAGAAGGAAAGTACACTGGCAGGTCCCGAGCTCCTACTGAAGGCAAGAGGCTTTCTATAAATCACCTATGTAACCCTCAGGATGACCTGATTTAAACCTTTTTGTGCTTATTTTAAAAATAAGGAAACGCACACAGAGAATTAACTTGACCAAAGGCCTCAGCTGGAGGCCAGCAGAGCTCACATTCGCACCCAGGTCTGCCTGGTCTTCGAGTCCACGTTCTTCCCACTATATTCGGGGTGCCCCATCCTCAGGCAGAACCGTGAAGAAAACATCAGGTATCAAGTGAGTTCTCAGAGTTCCAGGCTCTCTCTGTGCGTCCCCACTGGGTTCAAACAGCATTCCTTTCACCCCTAAGACCTGCTCTATAGTAACGACTTGAAAAAATTTGTTTTCAAATAATGTGATGCCTGGGAGGGCGTGAGGTTCTGTCTTTGTCTCTAGGGAACGTGCTGACTGTCCAGCTGGTTTCCAGTGTGACATTATAGGACACAAAGGGAGATGGGAGGGTATGGCCTCCCCACCCGAAGGACTATAATACAGAGGGAGGGTCACCCCACGACAACCAAACTCTGATGGGTGACAGCAAATTTCACAGTCTGGATGTCTCCATGCCGAGAGAGCTTACAAAGACAAAGACTAAGGAGACTTAATCAAGGAAGACTTCCTGGGAGAGGTGAATGTCCACTGTGGAAACCACTAGGACCAAAGGGAGGAAACAGCAATACAGTCCTTGTGGGCTGCACACATTCAGGTGTAATTTCTCTTACTTGACTCCCTGTATTTTCTGAAATAACAGTAATGGCTATAAAATGATGAGACTAAATTTAATGTCGTGCATAATGTAAGAGACATCCAGTATTAAAATTTTACTACTCAACTCTCTCAAAATAGCCCATTTTGTATAGGATTTTTCCTAATTCTGATTCATTCTGTGGGCAAATGCTTACTAAGCTCAAAGAGAGGAGTCTTTGGGGCAACCTAATTACACATGGGCGCTAACTGCTTCTAATGGATTTTTTTTCTACTCTTCAAAACATCTTTATTACAATCACTGGAATTTTCCCTTTGCTTCCCCTGGATGTGTTAGGATTTCTCTTCATCGCACCGTGTTTACGGGACAGCTGACTTACGTGGTAAAAGCAGCGTTTACTTTAGCCCCAAGGTAGTAAGAGTAAAGGATGAACATGCCGATCATAAAGGCGAGGAACACCATGATGAAGAGGACCATGAACTTGAAGATGTCCTTCACGGTCCTGCCGAGGGAGATCTGCAGGGGGCCGAAGCTCTCGTTGGCAGGAAGGATGTACGCGATCCGGGAGAAGCTGAGCACCACGGCGACGGCGTAGAGGCCTTCAGAGATGATCTGAGGGTCCGAGGGCAGCCACTTGTCTCTGGCTGGACGCAGGCGGAGAGAGAGACTAAAAATGAGACTTTCCATTCGTCGCTAACTATGCAAAGCCAGTACCTTAAATAGGATCCGTCTTGTAGGTAAGTGATTAACATCTCAGTTGAAACTACTCTAGATTTAATTAACAGTCTGGGCTCTATTTGTTAAACCAGAAATGTATGAATGCCACACTCCTATGAATTATTTCTACGGAGAAAACACTGTTATAAAGATACTAAGCTGACTTTGCATTGAGCAGAAACAGAATAAAGTACAGGGGTGAAGAAGCATGTTAAAAGCTTCATTAGGCACAGACTGTCAGGATGGTGACAACGGACCTGACCGATGTCCCCTCAGTTACCAGGCTTATCGACCAGTGAGTCTGTAAACTTGGTGGGCAGAAAACTTCTGTATTTCATGGGGAAATGAGTTCATCTCACAGTTAATGAAGTAAAACGTCATATTGAGAGACATGAGAATGTCCCTGAATCACAATGGTGCCGTCCACGTGGTATCTGAACGATATAACTTGTTCCTGGAAAATGGAAACTGTCACTGAGCCGCGAAGATTCTAATGAGGACCCCTAATGCCCTTTCAAGGTCACTTAGCGAGGTCACAGCAGACTGTGCCTGTTTCCCCTGGAAAGTCAATGAAGTGCTATGTGGTAATTTTGTGCGAACTGGGCCACTCCCAGAAGCATGCACACATCAGACACATTTGCAACAACAAAAATGAAAATGACCGTTTACCGAATGTTTAATATGCACTAGACCCTGAGCTTTCCCATAAACTTACACATCTGGTGTTATTATTACTCTCTTTTTAGAGATCAGTACCAAGGCTCAGCAAGGTTAAAAACTTGATCAAAATCACGCACATAATAAGCAGTGCAGCCTAAATTCACAAATTTCCCTTCAGATGACAGTCATCATTACACACGAATACATTTAAATAAATAGGTTATTGTGATACTCAAAGTATATATTAGCCCTAGCTGGTCTTGCTCACTGGTCAGAGCATCAGCCCATGGACTGAAGGGTCCCAGGTTCGATTCCAGCCAAGGGCACATACCTTGGTTGCAAGCTCGATCCCTGGCCCTGGTCAGGGTGCATGCAGGAGGCAAGCAATCGATGTGTCTCTCTCACATCGATGCTTTTTTTTCTCTCTCTCTCTCCCTTCCACTCTCTCTGAAAAGCAATGGGAAAAATATCCTCGGGTGAGAATTTAAAAAAAAGGTATATATTACACAAAAATACAACCTAAATTAATTCTTTAATTATAAATGATGATTATTTGTTCATTTGATCTGGTCTCCCTGGTACAAAACCTCTTTGCTTGAGACACTAAGAGACAACGTGTTTGAATTTCAGAGTGTGTAGAATGTACATCTATTTTTGGAGCAGACACCCAGCCTTCTTCAATATTGTTAACCTGCCTCTTGTCCGCATAACAGGTGAGCTTTCATTTCATTTCACTCACACAGAGCTATGCTTCGTGATGTGAACTCACATGAACTCTGTGCCTGAGTCTCCTTATCTGTAAAATGAAGGTGAGAACATAATTCCTAAAGTTTTTTCCAGATCTGAGATTTTGCAACGATGTGGATGTTTGCCCATTACACCTGCCCAACTTGGCCTCGGGGAAGGGAGGCTAAGGTTACCTAACGTGGAGCGTGCTGGGAGGGATGGCATCGGTGTCCTGGTACCCTGGGTACCAGCCAGCCGTGCTGCTCCCGTGACACGGATGTGTGGCATCACCGCGATCGTGCCATGAGGAGGAGGGGCCCGACCTCCTCTCCGCGGTTTCTGCCTGTTCAGAGCTTCCTTTCCCACGGCCACTGTCGCTCCTGTGCTCGGAACTTCTGTGCACTTCGCCTGTACAGCAGGTGAGCACCTTTCATGTTACCTCCTCGAAGCCACGCCCTCAGGGACTCATCTTCCACATCGATCCCTTTCTCAAGCCATTTCCCCTAATTAAGACAGCTTCATGTCCTAAGAGTACATAAGAGTAAATTACGTTGTCAGGCTTAAAGGGAAGTTTTCTCTCACCCTGCAGGGCCTTCTTTCTATGGATGTGAAAACTAAGGCACCGAGAAGTGAATGAACTTGAACAAAGGCGGGGAGAGTGCCAGCCTGGATACGAATGAAGCCCGTGCGGTCTCCCTGTCCAGGAACATTCAGCACGCCTCTTTATCGGCGCTCCCTTCCGAAACGTGGCTCCCGTCGCCCCCTGGAACCCGTGGGCCCTGCAGCCAGTGACTTACCGTAGGTGAAATACTGTATCTCTGGCGGGAGGGTGACTTCGCTGAGGTCGCTCTCTTGGACGTAACTGTCCACGTACCGCTGTGCTTTCGTTGCCTGGAGGAAAGCCAGGAACCTGGCTGTGAAGGCGGCGATGAAAATAGAGAGCATCCCAAAGTCCAGCACGTTCCACAGCTGCACGATGTACTCCCGGGGGCCTTCCAGCCAGAGCTCCTTACACTCGGACCACATCATTCCTGTCCAAACACACACGAGGGTACACGTGAGGCCTTGCGGCTTAACCGCGCAGCTCTTCCTGGGTCCACCGCCGGCCCCCACCCCTACGCAAAGCACCGTGCTGGGTACCACAAGGCACAGACTGTCCAGCTCACGGGGCAGAGCGGATGGAAGACGGAGCTTCCACAACACGGATGCCTCACAATTCGAGTGACACACCTCCACCCGCGGGCCCAGAAAGGCGGCCGGGGGACGGAGGGGCGCGGGCAGGAAGGCAGAAACATGCCGGGAAGGCTCCGCAAGTCAACTGATTCTGCCCCCGGAGACTTTCGGGGAGAGGAAGAATTCATCTTTATAAAATTACATTGGCTCATTATCAAACCCTAGTGATTTACTGGAGAAATAGCCCCCAAATGAGCACTGTCGCACTGTAGACTTGTAACAAGAACAGTTTGTCTGCCGTCGGGGAACGCTTCCATCGCTCCCCCAGCCCCTCCTCATCTCCGCTCATGCTGGGAGGTGAGGAGCATCCCTGGGAGAAGCCCCTCAGCAGGGAGGCCTGGGGCTCCGGGAAACTGAAGGCAGGAAAGGCCATTCCCAAAGAGGACAAAGGACCCCTTGTCTGGACGGTGCGAAGGGAAAATGGTGTGGGATTTGTGAAAGAAATGTAGTGGCTCAAAATAAAATGTATGAAATAATTACGTGACCCAGACTGAGGCCACAGGAGTGAATGAGAGGGAGGAAGCACCCTAGTAAATCAGGAACTGAGGAGACATCGAGAAACTGGCTGGGTGAAGTAGAGAGAACATATAAAGGGACTTTGGACTACTGATCAGTAGATAAACTGGTTCCAATCTCCATTGCTGTTTCTCACATCGCCTAAAATTTTTACTTTTACGTTCAAAGCAGGCCACTGTGAGGCCAAGTAACAAACGCTCTGAAACGGACACTCTCCCCCAACATCTCTAAAATTTAAACGACATCAATGTTCTCTAGTCATCAGTTAACAGCCGCCAGAGTTACTTCACAAGAATTTCAATTAAATATTTGATCATCCCAGTGAGTCACATTAAAAAACTTAACATTTTATTCAATAATTGAAGTGAGATTTCAGAAACACAGTATATTAATATTAGGCCCATGTTACTCATAAAAATTTTAAATTTATTGTTAGGATACCTTGTAGCATTACCAAGCTGACAAATTACTTGATTTTGCTATTCTGCTAATCTAACAATGGTGATATTGCCACCATATAATGTAAAATAACATTTTAAACAGAAAATGACCGTGGGGTGGGTGAACACACAATGCAATACACAGATGATGTATTATAGAACTGTACACCCCAATAAGTTCAATTAAATAAACAGAGAAAATGACAATCATTATAAACACATTGTTTTTGGTAGAAATCAGAGTACTTAAAATCCAAGGCTTACCAAGAACCCAAACCATAATGAGCATCTCGGTCCACGTGAACTGGGTGGTCTTGACCCTGAAGATCTGCTTGGGGTAGTCGATGACCGTGACGTTTGGCAGTGTGCTGATGCCTTCGAATCTGTCTGAGGCATTGAACACAAGCAGGCCCAGGAAGATGATGAAAGACGCAGCGTGTGCCACGAACTTCATGAAGGGGCTGCGCAGAACCTTCCCCAGCTGGGATAAGACCAAAACATGAAAGAGAAAAAACTTTTACTTTTGCAAATCTGGCTCCTGCTTACGAAAATTACTACAGGATAAAAAACAAAACCACGACCAGATGAAATGAGAAGGCTTTCAAAGCTCTCCTTGTTTCTGAAAAGCTATACATGGTAAAAATTACTCCTTTTAGGGGATGCTTCCTCCAAAAATAATTTAAGAAGTCTTCAAACTTCATTGTTTCTAAGACTCTCATTTGTCTGAGGATATATGGTGTTCACCGATGCATTTCTGGGGATCACATGGCACATGCTGGCTATTCTTAGTTTTATATTGAAAGGCTATGCAATGTCAAAGGTTTTAGAGTCTAGGAAAAGAAATTCCAAGTTTACAGTGTGTAATCCTTTACTGCTTTATAATTGAAATGTTATGATAAATTTGTAGGCTTGTTCATTTATAACTGAAATATTATGACGTGTCTGTAGCACGTTAAAAACCCTTTGGAGATTTAAAAAAATCTTACTACTACAGAAGGAAATTTTAGTTCTCATTTCTAAATATACTAAAATCAAGTTGCGCTTTGTATGATTAAAAAAGGGCAGAAAATATTATAATCAGGATAAACATTTTATTTGTTACTATTCTAATTAGAAGCGGGAGCTACAATGATTAAAACCTGTAAGTAGGTTAATTTAATTGAAAGTCATCCCCGAGTTTGGAAAATCATATAAATAGTACAAGAGCACCTTAAAGTTCAGTTTATAATTATTTTAAGGCAACTCCTTTAAAATCCCATGTGATAGGATGTCCTTAAAAGCCCCACGTTCTAGGAGAAATGAAAAACAATTCCTCCTGTCCCCAGGGCTTCCACGGTCCACGAATTAGGTACATTTGGTAGATTTATCAAGCAAGTTCTCCATCCTACACACTCAAACCCAACTTTTAAACTCAGTCTGTGACCTTAAAAAGTTCCAAGGTTCACATTTAAAAGACTGCAAATTCAAACAAATGTTTTTGTACGTCCACAACCTTAACTTGACGTCAACAAGTAGCCAAGGGCCGTCCAGCCCTTCTGGGGCTGACTGCGAATGCACACGGACAAGTGTGACATTTTCTACAGGAAAAGAAACAATCCTTTTACCTATCACTGTGCTGTTGGGGGCGAGGGGGGTGAAGCTCATTCCTAGCACTGAGTGATTTCTTGGGAGTTGCCAAGTCTCCAAAAGGTTGGTCTTTAAAACTTCGAATAGCATGAGAAGAAAGCCTCATGCCTATCCTAAAATGGGGCCACATGCACAGAATTCTTGCCCGACTGTCATTTCAGCATCGGGTGGATGGTATATGGAAGGTATAAAAATGGGTAGAAAGGACTCGGTTCCCTCTTTCCCTTCTCTGCTGGCCGGAGTTCCCACGCCAGGAGCTGCTTCCATGAGTGAAGAGAAACGGGTGGACTGAGGATGCCCACTCCCGGCTTAATGTAATCTTCCCACTGATTAAGCTGCCGAGAGAGAACCATGTATAAACCTGGACCCCCGTTCCTCCTCCCCAGAAACGGAATTATTTGGGTGGGATATGACTTTTGCTTCAAGGCATGCTCTCTCACATTATTTACAGTTTTTAGTCTTAAGCGCTCATGTGTTTGAGGAGTCGTAAGACACTTTTCCATGATACATGGCAAAGGAACTCAGTCGAGTCACCAAAACGGATCAAAATGACAAACTTTCTGCCTTAAATCGTCCAGGCAGCTCCGGCACAAGGCGAGATGGATGAATATTCCCGCACATATATGGTGCCTACGGAGCTGGACTCTGCCAGGAGGCTGCTGAGCCAGAGAGATGACGGATTTCTAGGGTCACTCGTAAGTGGCCTTGACTCATTTTGCCTGAAACTGCCTCTGATTTAAACAAATCCAGATTTCAGAATATAAAAGCAGGCTTAAAGGATCTCAGAACAACGTCTTCCCCCTGGCAGGGCCCTCGCTGAGCCTAATGCAGATTCCATAAGCACGCCAGTGCTCCTCTCCCCATCCTGCTCAGTGCTCCTCTTGGGCACAATCAAGCTGATTCTCCACTGGCAGGTGGAGAGAGAGAGGAAGGTTGTGAACAAAATGATTCAAGCACATCTAAACAAGCAAACCATCTAAAAATGCCAAAGCCCTCAAGCCCCAATTCTACATTTTTTTCTTCTGAGGAACAGAGAGCTGGAGGCACTGGACATGCACTTTCTTGGACTTTGGATGACACCACATTTGCACCTGGGCCTAACACTCTCTTCCACAGGTGGTGTGGACAGGTCCAAGCAAGTGTCTCCGGTTGTCAGGCTGACTGTGTCGTGGTCCCACAGCAGCAGCACTGTTGCCCCGTCCTCCCTAGGCCGGCCCATCGGCTCCCATGTATTAAGCTGTCAACAGAATGGGAACAATGCTACTTCACTCCAGCAGCTCTTCCTCCCGTCTACCATGGGGATTTTATCTTAAAAGCTGAAGCATTATACGCCTGCAAAGGAGATCTATCCCACCGGCACCAAATCCTTTCTCATCCCTTATTTGAATTGACCCAGTCATTAAAAAGCAGCATTCATGTTCTTGAGTCAATTAGCATTCAGGGTAAAACTGATAAGAGCCTTAAGCAGGAAGCTTTTTCCTTTTATATCCCCAAAGGACACGGTACACCAACCACAGAGGAAACGGGGCTAAGAAAGCTGTACCCGGCTGCAAGGTGCGATCCAGTAGCCGATGGCGAGGAACGGGAGGCCCAAGGCCACCACCAGCACAACCAGACACTTGATGGCGATGGTCTGCTCCCGCAGCCCCGAGAGGTTCTCGTACCAGATGGTTAGGAGCTGCTGCTGGCAGTTGGGGTGAGCCACAAACTGGAGGGAGAGAGAGGGAGGCGGGTTACCATGCCATCGTCCACAGTTCAACTGCTGAACGTTAAGATTAACACCCCGAAGATATCAACGCGCATGTTCCCAGAATGTGGGCGCTGGACGGTTCTGCTCATGCTCTTTCGCCTGCCCAGTGATTTTTCCCAAACTGCTTCAGACCTGATAGAAGTGCCACAGTGGAAACACGAGGGTAAAGCCTGGACCACCGTTCTTTCTTTGTGTGCTCTCCATCCCTCCAGGCTCCCCTCTGGAATCCGGTGACATGCCCCTTCCTTTGTGGACCTGTGGCCCAGCTGGCTGGCTGCCACTTACTTGTATTCAGTTCAAGGGGAAAAAGTTATTTGGTTTATTGTGGGCTATCGCTAAAAGCAAAACGGGCTACGTGTCATGAGCAACTCCTAAAACGCTACCTGTGTGAGGATACGTGCATGATGCGGCCTACATGTATGTACACACGACCGCTGCAAGTCTGCAAAAGATTCGCAAGAAATCAGTGAGCCTGCAGGCGTTAGGCTCGGTCCACACTGCCCGGCGTCCAGGAGCTGGCATCAAACGTCACTTCCTTCCCATTGTCATCTGTCCTCTTTTTATTGCTTCCTCTCTCACAGGTCAAAAGGAAACCACAAACATTTATCTCCCGCAGTGATTTTATCACTGTAACTCTAATCAGAAAAAATGAACAAACTGTACTTACTTCACCCCTGTCGTCACATTTTACTTTGCCATCTGGTTTTGCTAAGTCATCTGCCTGAGTCTCTTTAGAAGAACTGGGTCTCCTTTAAGGCCCTGTTCTTATTCAGGGAGCAGAATGTATTTGTCATCAGGCCTGTGTAAAGGTCCCGATGCCCAAAGGTGCCCATTTGTAGCTGGATCTGCCTCTTTGAATGGTCAGGTGCAGTTTGCCCAAGCTCGGGAACTACTCAGGGTCATTCACAAATCAACTGTTAAGTGTCAACATGTTCTCAAAAAAGAGTGGTTAGTGATACAAAAGTCAAAGTATCGCTGTCTTCTAAAAAAACAATAGCAGTGAACCTGTTAGGAAGAACCCATGAGACGCTTTGGCAAGCTTCGAGAAGCAGAGGGAGCAGCGAAGTCCCCACTAGGAGGGGGCTCATCTTCAATCAGGTCCTAGTTCCCGATCCTAACGATTCAGAGTGACTCTAGGCAATTCCACACGTTATTTGACTATTTATCAAGAGCACGCCTACAGGGCAATGAAGAGGTTTCCACTTATTGGCGCAGAGTTTCCCATCAGCTCTTTTCAATAAAAAAATAAGAGCGCGGCCGGCATGGCTCAGTAGTTGAAGGTCATCCCATGCACCAAGAGGTCACGGATTCCATTCCTGGTCAGAGCACATGCCCGGCTTTTGGGTTTGATCCCCAGGAGGGGGCGTGCAGGAGGCAGCCAATTGATGTTTCTCTCATCGTTGTTTCTATTTCTCTCTCCCTTTCCCTTCCTCTCTCTCTAAAAATCAACAAAAACATATTTAATAATCATAATCATAATAAATAGAACTTCATCCCCCAGGGTGGGCAGTGGAGGCACAATTCCCCCAGAACCCCCTCTCGCCCCAGGTGCGCCCGCCCTCTGGAAGTCCATCACGACCACTCTGTGGCAGCCACAGTGCCTCTTTGCAGGGGAGAAGTCGGTCTGTTGACAGGTGTGGTTGAGAACAAGTCTACAAGTATCAGATTTGAAATACTTAACTGAATTTTTTTCAATGATACAAACTGGAAGGGTTTGGGAGAGTTAAAAGTATGAAAAAGAAGATGCTATCTTTTCTTTCTTGACGAGCTCGGTGTGAAAAAGAGTGTCTGATCTTGTAAGTTCCTTTCAACTCAGTTATAAAAACCCCAGGTCCCAGGGGTCACTGGTGACTGACAGCTACGAAGTATATATGAGACCTTCTTTCCAAACTCAAGATTCTGTCACTCTTCCAATGTTCTGACTTTTGGAAACAGTATTTCAAGGTCAACGCAGACGTTATTTGAACCCATGATATAATGTGTGGATCTAATCAAGGCTGAAGGCTTCCGGGGGGTCCCTGTGACAATTTCCTAGGATTCTTGAGAACTCCAAAGTTCCACTTCTTCCCTGTATCTACTGGATCATTTCCTTCCAGCTTCACCCCTCCTTCTATGTGAGAAATTCTCATCCACGCTACAGTCCCTCACTGTCTGTCTCATTCATTCATTTACTCACTCACTCACTCACTCATCCGTCAAGATGTCATAAGCCCCCCTCTGAGCTTAGGCCTTTGGTACAGGCAGGTGAAAATGGAAGCATCAGCCCGGCCGGGCGTGGCTCAGCGGTTGAGCATCGACTTAGCATCTAGGAGGTTGTGGTTCGATTCCCCGTCAGGGCACATGCTCGGGTTGCAGGCTCGATCCCCAGCAGGGGGTGTGCAGGAGGCAGCCGATCAATGACTTTCACCATTTATGTTTCTAATTCTCTCTCTCCCTCTCCCTTCCTCTCTCTGAAATCAATAAAGACATATTTTTTTAAAAAAGAAAAAATGGAAGCATCAGCATTGCCTTAAGTGATGAGTGGTCCCTGGTCACAGGCACACAGTGAGCTATCAATAAATGTGAAAAAATTATGAGAATGGAAACCTGCCAAGATAAATATTCAGCATTTAACACAGTCTTAATTTGAACATTGGTCCAAAAACACAGAGGGTCTGTGTTTGTGGGCACTTGGATGGATGCAAATAGAAGGCAGGCCCGTGCCTGCAGCCAGGCTTGGCTCGGCATGCGGAGTGGCGCGTCCTGAGGAACCCACAGGCAGAGAATGCGATGTCTTCAAACCAGATTACCAGCTGGGAAGTCAACATGCACTTTTTAATAGTCTGAGGGTTTGAGTAAGACAGAAAATGCCCACTGAGTTAACAGACAGGTGGACGTGTCCGTGTGGGACCGGTAGACAAACTTTCCTCTTTCGTAGGTTGCGAGCTCTCGAGGACAGAAGCACTGATGTAGTATGGCTCCCTCTTCTCACCACTCCTCGAGCTGGTCTTTAAATCTGAAGATGTGCTTTACGGCATTAATGACACTGTATAAGGCTACACAGCCTCAAAGACTGGCTGGAAATCGATCCTTCCATGTGGCGCACAGGTGATGACCAGCCTCTGACCAGCTGTGACTTGCACATACAGTGCAGACACTTAATCGATGTTAAATACTAGCCCAAATCATGGTGTTTGCACTTTCCTTTCATACTTTACTGTTCAGCTTAATGGTTATATTTTCTATATTACTAATTTTACCCTCTGCTTTTTTTAAAAATAAGTTTTTATTGATTTCAGAGAGAGGAAGGGAAAGGGAGAGAGAGATAGAAGCATCAATGATGAAAGAGAGTCATTGATTGGCTGCCTCCTGCCCTGACTGGATTGTGCCCTGACTGGAATCGAAACCCGATCTCCAAGGTCATAGGTCGATGCTCAACCACTAAGCCACGCCAGCCAGGCCTCTACTTAATTGAGATAATAAACACCACCATATGGCCTCTGCTGATTTCTTTTAATCCACAGAAAGAAAACACAAATAGATATTTTTCCCCTGGTGATTTAAAATCCTAACATGGATACACAAGGAACATTTGAAAAAGAAAATGACACCAATACAAGAGTAGCGAGTGAGGGCAAAAAAGCTAATCCCCCTGGGAGATGAGTTTTGCTCTTTTCAATGACTTCAAAATAGGGCAGTGACCTTTATCTGTTCACTGCTTTACCTCCTAAAACAGCTCCTGATGCCGTCACACCAGTCCTACCCAGCTGAAGAAAATTTCCATGTTGTTTCCTAACTTCAGTGGCCCAGCAAATTGAAATCATTCCAAAAATAATACCCTTATTTGAGGTTTTCTTATTTAAAGGGAGGATGATTGACACACGAGAAAATCTCAGTCTTTCCCTGGAACAAAACTACTGTAGCATTGAGAAAAAACATTTTTTTCCTGCCAAACGATTAACAGATTGTAAACTGAACCCCCATTCAGGGCAGGCTATGGAAAACAATTAGATAACTTTCAACTTAAAAAATAAATTCATGTTACACTGTCTTTTTATGAAATCAGAATTTACAAAAACCATCTTCATGGGTACACGGTGGTGCAGAATGTGGTAGGAATGTTCTGTTTTATTTCTTTTTAATCCTCACCTGAGGATATTTTTACCATTTCAGCTTAACAATAACCCACAACCTTTGGACCAACTTCCATTGCTTTTCAGAGAGAGTGGGAAGGGAAGAGAGAGAGAAACATCAATGTGAGAGAGACACATCAATTGGTTCCCTCCTGCACATGCCCCAACTGGGGCCAGGGATCGAACCTGCAACCGAGGTACGTGTCCTTGGCTGAAATTGAACCCAAGACCCTTCAATCTGAGGGCCAATGCTCTAACCACTGAGCAAACCAGTAGGGCTTATTTTTAATTTCATTGTTGGAGACTCAGTTCATACAATTTAAAAGAAAATATTCTTGTATATAAAACCTAGATCATTCTGTTTTCTTTTTAGGGCTCTTAAATCGTGACATATAAACAGAAAACTCACATGGTGAGAGTTTTCTGGATTGCGAACCCACCAGGTGTAAAATGCTCTGTTATCTCCTGGTGCCTGGGCACAGACGCGGCCCCAGGCGGCACGGCGCAGGGGTCGGGGCTGGCACGTGAGCCCGAGTCTGCAGCATGCGCACCCCCCGCCCTCCCGCTGAGGGGCTCCGCTTCTGAGCTCTCTCTGCATCGGCTGGAAGTGACTTTATGTGCTGTGGTGCTGCATGTCTCTTTTCTAGATGATTGTTCTACAGTTAAACTTAATCCCACCATGGAGGAAACAGAAGAGCAGGCAGAAGAACTCAGGAAATGTCTTCCTTTTTCTTAAGAGCCCCTTTGTCCAGACTTGATGGTTTATGAAGATCTGGTGTGCTTTGTCTTTATCAAGGGCTTTCTCACCATAGACATAGCTACTGGAGATAGAACTCTTGGTATTTCTATGGGTGCAGGGGATCAGTATTCCTCAAGTCACAGACAAGATAGAGGGACAGTCAGAACTAGAACTCAGGACTTTTTGGGAGTCAAGAGTCCATTAGTCTTTTTTCTTTTTGAATCCTCACCCGAGGATACTTTTTTCATTGCTTTTCAGAGAGAATGGAAAGGAGGGGGGAGGGAGGGAGGGGGAGAGAGAGAGAGACAGAGAAAGAGAGACATCGATGTGAGAGAGACACATCAATTGGTTGCCTCCTGCTCAGGCCCTAACTGGGGCTGGGGATGAGCCTGCAACCGAGGTAAGTGCCCTTGGCCTGAATCAAACCTGGGACCCTTCAGCCCGTGGGCTGACACTCTAACCACAGAGGCAAACTGTCCATTATTCTAATTGGAAAGTAATCCGTGTTTTTGGCCCAGAAGTTAATTTTCTTGTACACATTTTCAAAATATCAAATTTCATCTTTCATTCTCCTATAGAAGAATGTAGGTAACTCTACACACAGTAATGGTATTGATCACCTTTCCAGTTGCATTATTTCCCTTAGAGAATGCTCAGAAATGGTGAGGAGTCTTCAAAATCCCTGACAGAAAACACATTATTGCTTCCCACCAGTAGCATCTGATTGTCCATTTATTTCATCAACGGCATTGAGAATCGTAAGTTTCTATTCTCTCATAGTTTGAGGGGTGAAATGGCATTTGTATGTTAATGTGCATTTCTTTTATTAAGAGGGTGCTTGAAAATGTTAAATACGCTTGCTAGCGATTCAATTTCTCCCTTCTATGAATTATCTGTTCAGGCTCTTGGCTTATTTTTCTAAAGAGCTCTGGGAATTTTTCTTGTAAACTTGTCTTGAGCTCTTTTGATACTAAGAAGAGCAATCCTTGCCCAGCCCGCGTGGCTCAGAGGTTGAGCATTGGCCTAGGTTCCAGGAGATCGCGGTTCGATTCCTAGTCAGGGCACATGCCCGGGTTGCGGGTTCGATCCCCAGCAGGGAACGTGCAGGAGGCAGCCGATCGATGACCTCATCATTGATGTTTCTATCTCTCTCTCTCCTTCTCCTTTCCTCTCTCTGAAATCAATAAAGACATATTAACAACAACAAAAAAGAATAGCAATCCTTGCCCTGGTTAGTGTGCTCACTGGTTAGAGCATCGGCCCATAGACTGAAGGGTCTCAGGTTCAATTCCCAGTCAAGGGCACGTACTTTGGTTGCAGGCTGGAGAAGTCAGCAGACTCAGAACCAGAGCTGGGGGCAGATTTGGGCAGATAGCAGGAGAGACTTCCTGAGTCTCTTATGGGGCCTAACAGCTTACCGTTATATAAAACTGGTTTTCTTGGTGTAATTATGGCCTGATTTGAATAAATATGAGTATATTTTGCTATGGGGGAGGTGGTGGAAATTCCATAACATATAAAGTTATTTTGAAATCCCAGTGCCTTTTATGTAGCCATAGACTGACTACTTCAGAGCCACAGTGGGGGAGGGGGGTCATGCATCCTTATAATCCAAGGGGAGATTTTTCTTGGGGACTAGAAACGAGATGGTAGGAAAAATGGGGACAGGAGTGGGGGAGTCTTTTTCTTCCTTGCTGGAGTGGAGATGGGTGAGTGCTGAGTGAACAATAAAGGAGCCTTCGAGGGGAAAAAAGAAAGAGGACCTGGGGCTCGCTTGGCCATTCTAATATACATTTATCAAGTGACCATTCCAAATCAAAGACTTGAACTAATATTCATGGCAAAGCATAAAACAAACAAGCCAGAAACACCTGCAAAGTCTTGAATCTCCATTTGGTTCCACATATATTCTTTTGGTCGTTGTTTCCTGATAGTTGACTGACAGCAAGTTTATGACACCTCCTACACTGTAGTCTACATATCTGACATTTAAAATGAGCATGCAGGAGGACTTGCGCTCTGCGAGACAGCTTGGTCAACAGACACACATCTGCAGACAAACTGTTTCTGCTAATATCACACTTTCAAAGCCATGATCAAGAACCTGTGACAACTGAAACCAATTCTCCCCTCGCAGGTACTCAAGAGAGGAGACAGCGTATTACAAGACCTGTGAATAAATGTCCAGACAGATTTCTAAAAGTGCATTAATATCCATCTTATTCAAAATTATCTTTTTGTGTGTGTGCCAACATGGCAAAACCTCTATTAGCAAGAATGCTCTGAGAGGAGGGCAGTCAGGCCAACTTCATTATGTCATAACTGACAATGCCTTGAAAAATTATTTCACTTCGCGTTTCACTATCCTGTTAAGTAGAGGAAGCTCTGTCACTGTTGGCTGGCCACAGTCTTGTGAACACACATGTGGAAGTTTTCTACACTGTGGCAGAATTGTGTGTGTGTGTGCATGTGTGTGTAGAGAGAGAGAGAGAGATTCCCCCACCCGCATTTGCTGCTAGGTACCGACACTGGCCTAGGCTCCACTGGTGAGAGGCATTAAGTGTGGGCCTTGATGGAAGGGGCTGTATCTATCAGGCAGGACTCAGGCATCGTCTCGGGGGTGCAGGGCCAGCCACCTCAGCAGAGGCAGAATTGTTCTGTTTGGGCCACAGACACTCCCTTAAGGTCAGTTCTGGAAGCACAGCACAGGAAGCTTGCATCTCCCCCTCTCCTAATGACTCCTAACATCCCCTACTAAATTCCTTTCTGCTTACTGACAACTGGAACCAGTACAGTGGACAAGGAAGCTGTCTTTGATGACTGAGAACAGAACTTGCTTAAGAGTCATTCTGAGGGTGAATTGTCATAACGCAGAAATGTTATTCGCTAATACTTACTGAACAACCACCGTGTCCTATACCTGTGCTAATTACTTCACATGCATCGGCGCATGTAATCATGGAAACAACTGAACAAGTAGTCCCTACTGTTGTCCCCACTTTACTAGCAAGCAGACCGAGGCTTAGGCAGGTGGGGTGACTTGCCCGTGGTCACACAGGGACTTGAACCCTTGCAGGTTGGCTCTGGAGCCTGACCTCTTAAGCTACACGCCACACTGCAGGAGGAGAGAAGATTCGGCGACACACAGATCAACCAGGTCATGAAGCCAGCTCTATTCCTGAAAACAGCTTACTTCTTTGTGATTTATCAGCGTCTCTTAAAAGTACAAAAAAATTCATTTATCTAACCTATATAAGGTGTTAGATTCTGGGTAACTGAGATTTTCATTACAGTGACACATCATAACTACAATTTTCATGAATTATTTAAAAGCCCCATACAAGTAGCAGATAGATACACATAACAGTTTATCTGCAGCAACCAGAGTAAAAAAGGAATCATCGTTTTTATTTTTGGCAACTGTAAGATCAACTCCATAGCTGTGTGACCTTAGACATGTCGTTTAAGCTTGGAGAACCTTCGCTTCCTTACCTATTTTATAGGCAAAATAACATAGGATTGGCGCAAGGATTAATGTGAGAATGTATGTAACAGTGCCTTCCAAAACTGTGTACAAGTAGCAGGCTTTATTATTATTGATTGCATTGTAACGAGCAGATCACAGAGTTCTTTGGCGTATCTCAAGCCATTGACATGCCACCAAAACCCTGCGATAGATAAGAAATATTATCCTCCTCTCAGACAGGAAACTGAAATTTAAAGAAGTCTCGTGACTTATCCAAGGTCTCCCAACCAATAAAAAATGGAAAGGGTCAGAAGCTCGATATTTGACTCACCATTTTACCATGACTTTTCTTAATCTCTTTCATGAAGGAAACAATATATTTTAACAATAACACCTATTCTTATTATTGAAAAAAAAGTCCTGGAATACGGCCTGGTGGATATTCCATGTTTATTCCAATACAGAGCAGGATGAAAGCGGGCCACTCACCTTTTTGACTTCATACTTAATGGCAAGTTTGACACGACTCAGTGACGCCTTGTGCCTGTGCGCCTCCGCAGACTCTGCCGATTCCAGGTCTCCGTTCAGGATCGCCTCCACCTCTTCTGAGTCTCGGCAAAGATCCAGCACACCCACCACGAAGTCTTTGCACTGCATGGACAGCTTCCGGTAGTCATTCTGAGAATGGGAGGTTTGGAATTTAATACAAAGAATTTGCTTTAGCCCGGCTGGTGTGGTTCGGTGCTTGAGAGTCCACCCATAAACCAAGAGGTCACCAGTTAGATTCCGGTCAGGCCACATGCCAGGGATGGGGGCATGCCCGAGGCAGCCAACTGATGTTGATGTTTCTCTCTCACTGATGTTTCTATCTCTCTCCCTCTCCCTTCCTCTCTCTCTAAAATTAAAAAAAAACATTTTTTTTTAAAAAAGAATTTTCTTTAATTTCATAGAAAGTGTTTAGCTTTTCTGTGCATTAGAAAAAGGCATCCCTTCCTCTGGGTAGGGAGCTGCAGCCCCTATGTGGATGCAAGGCTTGCTGAGTTAGATACGGCTGGATTTGCCCCACCCCCTCAGCAGGACCTGCAACCTGCCCACCGTAAGAGATGGCTCTGAAAATGCTATGCACATAAGTCACTGGTTTGTATTAAGAGATGCTGGCTAACTGCTAATGCTGAAAGATCAAAGGATCAAAAGGAGTTGTATCTCTCTTGTGCAGTTGTATCTCAAAGCCAAAACAAAACCATTTCTATAACGAAAACAAAAATTTTTATCTGGTTATTACTTATTGAAAAAATTTATTTTAAAATTATAGTTGATGTACAATAAAAACAGTTTGAAATGGTGATTTTTTTTCTGAAGTGGCAATTTGATAGAGAAGATTGACCACACGTGAAAATAACGGGTCCCGTTTACTGTCTCTCTTGCCTTGATGGAGACATCGCTTCTCCACGTGTAGGCCTCAGGCCAGCAGCGTCAGCAGCACGTGGCTATGAGAACGTCAATTCTCAGACCCATCCCTGATGTCCTGGTGTGTTTCTGACACACATGTACCTTTGGGAATGACTGGTGTGTGGGGAATGTAAAGAGATGGACAGCTACCAGCAGAGAGGGGGCATTTTCCCTTGTTTGTCTGCAGGGCACACGGTCATGTCCTGCAGAACCTGAAGGAGGAGTGTTTGATTATACGTCACTGAATCCTCAAGAGTTGCAGAGTATCAATACCTGAGAGAAAAATTTCCAGGCTAACACCTTGCTAGAAGTACCCTGCGAATCTTTCCTTTCATTCGCATGAACATGGAGTGCACGGAGCGGTATAGGAGTCAGTCGGCAGCCTTCCCGTTGCCTTCTGGATGGAGCTCTATTTCTCCCCCTTTGGTTCCTCACAAGGTGCCAATGACCCTCTTAGAGAAGCGTCTTACTTTCGGAGACCCCAGCTCCGCTTCTATGGCTTTCACTAAAATGACAGCCCACTAAGAAAGTTAACCAGATGATAATTAATTTGGTACAGCTGAGGAAAATGGAATTCCTCGTTTCGACGTGTCCTGAGACACTGTGTGTGTCTAATAACTAAATCATACTTTGCACAGCAGAATTTCCAAATTCTGGGCTTCCAAAAATTGCACTTTAAAAAAAGGCATGACGAATGCCAATGTTTTTCCCTTAAATAATTAATTTATGTAATGGGCAAAAATCACATCACCAACTAAAATAAACAAGAAGAGGAGAGAATGTTTAGAGGCTACACAGACTAGAATAGTTTCCCTTTCAGATATCAGAAATCCAGATAAAGGACAGTCACAGTTAACCCTTTTTCCCTCATAAGGGAACAGATAAAATGAATGGAAACTTCAATCTTTGGTTTCCATTCAAGTTGGGACCAGGCAACTGATAAAATTAATAAAATGTTCAGTCTCTGGTTTCTATGCAGAGTGTCTGCCTTCCATGCCTGAAAGACTAATGAAATATTTTATTATAGCATCCAGAAGAAGTATTAAATCCATGTCTGTTTCCATAGAAAGCTCCCCTTTTAATACAATTTTTTAGATGAAATTTCCTCGTGTTACTCTTCAGTTCAAGCTGTTCTATAAGATTTGGTACAACATAGGGCGGCCATTGCTCCACTGAGCAGAAATAAAAGAGACTATTTTCTATGCTTGAAGAAAACATGGGAACTGCTTCTGCAGCAAGACCTAAATAATGACTCATTACCTTTAAAAATTATAATCTGTAAATTGTCCAGTCTTAAGTTGCAAGGACAACACTTTGTTTTCATAACTGAAAGCCTTCCTGCCCTGAGAAGTCTGTTACCCCAGTTCAGAAGACAATCAGAGCTGGAGACAAGGGGCATTTCATCACTGGGGCCGTGGGCAGCATTTTGTCAATCTCTGCAGAGCTCCCTGGGAAATGGAGATTTAGACGGCCCTGCCTCGGGTGCAAAAGGAACCATCTAGGGTCTGCACTGACCACCAGGTGGCTGTTGGTCCTACCAGGAGTCCGTCTCACGTTACTTCACAACTCAGACCATGTGCCTGCTCTGCTTTTCCTAATAATTTTCTCGTAATTTAGTTTTCTTAACTGTCTTCATGATGTCACGCACCCATTACCTGGGCCCGCCACAAAGTTTCAGACGGACCTGTGCCCGCTTTGCAGAGCAGGAACTCAAAGCCCAAGGGCCTGCCCATGTCAAGGGGGGGCAATGGGGCTCCGTCCTCGGGACGCCCCGTCTGCAGGTTTCAGCACACTTATATCATGGTTCACTCGTCATTCGAATCCCTTTTACCCTCTTTTCAATCCCTCTTAACCTTAAGAGGAAAATGGAAATTCAGTTCGAAGCAGGCTGGGCCCCACCTGATCCTTTCCCTAGTAACAAGGAGTGCAGTGGTTAAAGTGTCGATCTGAAGCCAGGCCTCCTGGGTTCAAATGCTGCTTCTACCACTTCCTAGCTGTGTGATATTGTGGAAGTTACTTGGTCTCTCGGACGAGAATAAGCCTATTTAATAGTGCTAGTGTGAGGATTAAATGCTTAGAGTGTGCTCAGCACACATCAAATACCATAGAAGGGCTTCGATATTACCAGGTACAGCATGTAAGAGAACATTGAGGGCTGGGACCCCTTCTCCCAAATCCAGGCCTAGCACACGCACCTTGGCTCTAGGCTTTGTTTTCTCATTTGTAAATGAGAGGTCTGTCTAGCCAGATGATTCCTAGAATATCTTCCTGCCATAACATGCTGTCTTGCCTTAGGATTATATTCACTCTCTTTTCCTTACAGCCCTACTGTGGTAATAGTTGAAATTGCTTTTCTACTTCAAAGAGAGGAAAACAGGCACAAGGAGGGCAAAAGGTTCTTTTTTTTTTTTTTGCAAAAAAGTGCATCACTGACTCAGAATTAGGAAATTTCACTTTGCGCCTCACGGCTTAATAAATGACTAGCTTGCTTGCCTCTGACATTCAGAGGATTAGGTCCAGAGTCCATCCTGTCCGGTATTATTTCTCAGAATAGCTACAGACAGCATCTGCACACCCAAAATATTTCTTTAATAACCTGTCACCACACTGTCCTCCATTAATTTATCTAAAGCTATATCCGAGGATGTTCAACCTCTTGGGGTAACGACCTTCACATGCTTTTCAGCACCAGGCTTCCTGTATTGTTCAAGAAACTTTGGAAACTGCAAAGTGGCTGGGAACCTAGTGATGGCAAATTGAGGGGGGAGATGCTGGATCTTACGGGCCATCGAGAAGATGAAGGAGGGATAGGTGTCTAAAAAGGAAAAATCACCTGTCTTTCACTGGGGAGCACACTGTCTATTTTTTTATTTCAGTGCTAGACCTTTGAGCTCAAAGTCTCTGTGGAAAAAATACAGAGAAGACAAACGAAACAAGGCCAACGACATTAGCTGCTTGCCTCCGAAATGAGCGCCACCTCACTGCCCTTCCCGAGCACCAGGTCCTGGGTCAGAGCTGTGGAAGCTTGTTTCCTCCATCTGTCTAAAGCCTGGCAGATGGACATGAGTGTGGGACAAGAGGGCAAGGAGGTGAAGGGAGGGCAGGTACAAAGGCAATAATAGGACAGGTGAGAAGGGGGGAAGGAAAGGGACATTGTCAGGGGAGGGGGACTTGTGGTCCCTGGACACTGACTTCTCCAGAACTGTCTGTCTTTTGACTCAGAGAAGGTTATGCTGCCCAAGTGCTTTCTACATAATTCAGATAAGGGGACGGTGAGACTGAGATATTTCCGCATGTCCTTGGATATCTGGGAGCTTTATGTGTTGCCCTCTTAAACTCATTTGTGTTTTCTCTCTTTTTTTTTTTTGCCTCTTTATTTGCAATATTTCCCCAACTTTGAAAGGTCATCAGAGGCGACTCTGCAAGCTGGAGTAAAGGAGACTCTAAGTATTATCAATATAGATTTAGCTGGCTTCAGGGGAAAACGAAGGACGACAGAATTTTTAACCATGGCTTTACTGAGATGACTTCTCTGAGCAGAATTGCATATGTCACCATCTTTTGTAAAATATTAAAACATAACCTTAGAAAATATTCCCTTTTGTAGAATCTCTTTTCTAGACTTTCAATCTATATCAAGCAAAATGCATAAAAAAAGGTTGAGTGATATCTAAAAGTGGCAAATAAATTTAGAATTATATTTTTTATTACTATGCCAAAATAAAGAAATCACATTTAGAGTTAATTTACCTGAATGTTTTTCTAGTCTCTCTAAACAGAATTTGAGGCTTTCAATTTGTTCTGAGTTCCGTCTAAAAACAAATCCATTTTGGGCCCAAGGAAATAAGTCTTTCAAATACTACATAATGAATCTCTTGAAAGGGAGTAGATATAAGGTAATATTTATTTTATTCTTTGTATTTTCCCACATTTTCCAAATTTTTTATAATAAATACGTGTAGCATTTATATCAGAAAAAATCTTAATGGAATAACAAAATTATCCTATGGTCAGAGCTCCAGCAGGACAAGATAAGGGTTGATTGATATCTAGGAATTTGATGTGTATGGAAGGGGGGAAAAAAACCCACAAAACTTTCCTACTATTTTCTTGCAACCCCTTAGCCTACATTATATTGCTGGTCGCATTTGTGTAAATCTCACCTAAGCATGAAAAACTGTAATGAGATCTGAAAGACAGAATAATCACTCTTCCTGGGGTCTAACATCACGACACTGAACTGAAAAGAAGATGAACTCAGCATCCAGAAAATTATTCAAGGAACTGATGTCTACAATCATCTTAGGTGGACAACGGGAGACAGGATCCTGCTGAAAACCAGCCTGACTGGCTTTCTCCACAACGAACACAATTTCCTTTCACCCAGATTTAATTGGCAGGACCACCCAAAATGCACAGGAAGATGCAGCAACCAAATAAAAACTAAAAATGTTCTACGTGAATGTATACTTTTTATAAAAATGGATACTCCTGTTTGACTGGAGATCACCACCAGGAAAAGAGTTCACTCATTAAAAAAAAATAAAAATCCATTAAAGCCAAACACTGTACGGCCCCCTGCATTTCTGGGCTGACCTGCTGTCTGCGGGTCTACAATCAGCAGCTGGATATACATTTGTGGGTTTCAAGGTGAGGCATGCTTGTCATATTCATGAACGGCTTCGGTAGCATTTTATGCGCTCTTCTAACTTTCAGTCTAAAGGGATCTACAGATGTTTGGGCAAATAAACAGGGAACTACTACCACTTGTACGCTACCCCCCCCCAACCCCCCATACAACTAACTACAATAGAGGAAGAATTTGGAAGGGAGAGGGTCACCCCAAATCCCTCCTTTTGACAGAAGGGGACAAGTCTTGCCTTCTACTTAATGCTTGTGCAGAGCATGGAGCAGGCCTGGAACTAGAGCTCTGTGACCCAGCATACCCCTCCCCCCTCCCCC